ATATTGTTTACGTGGTTTTGCCACGTAAATTTGTTGTCGATTGTAAGACCAAGATATTTGTATGAATCCGTGATTTCAATAGTTCCTTGTTCAATTACTAGTTGTGGGGTTGTTGGTTTATATTTTGTATCCCTATTGAGGAAATGAGTCATTTTGGTCTGATAGAAAAGTTGAGAAATCGAGGTGGAAAACGTCAAAAGTAGTTTTTTAAAGAGACAACGAGTCTATCTGACCTGCGTATAGAAATAATTATTACTTTTTTTTTTCATCATCCTTTGTTTTTCCAATAAAAATCAAATCTTCATCGTAATCGAATCAGTGTGCATGGAGAACAGGCCGCGTGTTTGAACAAGAGTAAAAAATATAAGTACACTTCATTAAGCATTAGTGGTGGTGCGGAGAAAAAAGCAATTATGAGTTGTCGATCGAGTGGTAGATAATGAGGTAAAAAAACGAACAACAAACAGAACGAGGGAGCTGGAAGAGATAGGAACACCCCTACATCGTTAAAACTTGAACAAATAATAATTTAATTTGTGACATTCTGAATTCTGCTCCTCAATTAATAATAACCATTGACCTTTTAGTAACTGAGACTTGATAATAACTTAGACTACATCTTTGTTTTAAATCTACTGGCATTAAATATATCTGCTGCTCGCCTTTTGCTCATGATCACAAGAACCGTCTCCCTGTCTCCCTTCACTTCGCCAACTCAATATAGCGGGTCGCCTCGACTTGAAAATAATCGGAGCCTTTTGAACTTGGTTTGTTTTAGGAAATTTGTAATTTTCTCTCCTCATTTAGCTCAGTTCTATCGGAAACAGACATTACATTTGAAAGCAAATCTCGTTCAAAAAACTTTATAGTGGTTAGAGGCGCGTAAACTATTATACAGTAACAATGACAATGATCTCGACTTGGACAACTGTTGTTGAGACATGCATCAGCTCATTTCTTATGTCAGGGACACATTTGAAGAGGACAGGGGAAAAAAAACGTCTGAAAAAACCTGAAATTTTGAGGGCCAATTTTAAAAGCTTGTGGACTCATAACTTCATATTATTTGTTTGACTTCTGGTTTATTGTTATGTGTTGTTAAATGAGAAATCTTTCAACAGTAATCAACCAACAGTTGAACAGATATACAGTTATGAGTCAACAAGAGTTCAAAAGTGGTACCCTCACGATTTTCAGTTTGTGACTATAGTCATTTCCCCCTTGTAGTCTTCATTTGCTTAACAAAATGTGACCCTGTTGTGTTGCTGTTTTGCGACTGCCTAGGGACCGTGGACGACGCGAACAAGCAATGCTTTAATATAAGAGTGCGCAGAGTAAGAATACCCCAACAAACATTCGCAAGTTTTCTCACCCGTTGTGCAACTAAGTACAATTTGTTAAATATTTTTAAAATAGATATGTAAAAGAGTTTTATTTTATTGTACATTAAATGTTAGTTCCTACTTATACATATACGAGGGCTGTCCCACGGAAAACCGGAAAAGGTCCATAAAAGCAACAATCTCTGTCCTGTTATAATAAAAATGTAACACATCATACCTCTAGGTGTGCTTTATTTCTCAATGTAATCACCATCCCCTGGACGCATTTTTTCCCATTACTGGATCAGGGAGAAGATACCCCCGTGAAGAATTTTTCGTCAAGCGATTTCAACCAATCTTTCACGGCATCCACGAGGTTTTCGTAGTGGGTGAATCGCAGCCCAGAAATATGCCGTTTCATTTGTCTAAAAAGGTGATGATCTGACAAGGCCAAGTCAGGACTGTGAGGAGGGTCTGGCAGAACTGCTCTGCCGAAGCTTTGGATCCAGTCTTTCGTAGCGTTTGCAGTATGTGGCGTTGCGTTGTCCAGCTGCAAAATGACCCTGCTGGACAACCGCCCTGGTCTTTTTCGGCGCACAAACTCTCCCAACTTATCAGGAGTCTGGCAGTATTAGTTAGCATTAACAATTTTTTTGTCCTTGTTCCAGAATGTAAAGAAGCAGAACACCCTTAGCATCCTAGAAAACCGTGGCCATGAGTTTCTTCAGTGATGGCTGAACTTTTTGGGGGGAGGTGAAAACGTGTGCTTCCAAACCATTGAATCTTTCTTCGTCTCAGGGGTCATGTGGTGTAAACAAGTCTCATCACCTGTAAAAACGCTTCTCAGGAATGCTTCATCATATTGTTGGAGGGCTCCAGATGCGTTCATGACTCCCGTGACAGCTTAGCGACAACGATTCAACAAAGTCTGAGACCATTCAACACGTTGTGACTTGTGGTCAGCTGTCAGCTCTTTTGGGACCCAAAATCACTATCACGTTCGATAGTGCAGCTCATCAAACACTATCCTATGGACAGTCGACTTTGAAATGTTTAGCGACTCAGAAATTTCGTGAAATTTTTAAGTGCCTGTCTGTTTGAATGAGTTCGTTAACGCGACTGTTGTTGTCCTTAGTCTTGGCAAAAAAACAAGGTTCTGGGTGAACTTTCTCATTGATATTAGTATGCCCGGCTTTGCACTTACTACACTACTCATATACCTGTGACATTGCCATTACTTTCTCCACGCAAACTGACTTTATTTCAGTGTATTTTTCTATAGGTCTGATACCTTTTGCGGTCAGAAACCGAAAGACAGACCTTACTTCTACCCTTGACCAATTTTCCAAAGAGGTAACCATCTTTGGAGAACTCTCAGAACTGCTGTGTTCGTTTGGTTTGTGCTATGCTCATGGTGCTCAACTGGGAAATTCCTAAATGATTGTTTTACAAGTGTGCGTTAACAGTATGTGAAAATATTTAAAAGTTTTCAAATTACAGCCAAATTCCAGTTTTCCGTGCGACAGCCCTTGTAGCAAGTTTTAAAGAATTGATATTTTAGGTCTTTTCAGCACTTGGCTAATAATACGTGCCCCCGAAGAATGACTTTCTAGCTGTACGAATTTTAACTGGGAGAATCAATACTCTTGTTAAGATCAAATAGGAGCGTCGCACATCATGATCTGCAATATTCTCTTCCAGAATATTTACTATACTAGAACTAGACAGCAAAACACACGTTTACGTGGTATTATAATTCATAGTACAGGAACATGTTTTCTAGAATCATTAATAACTAGCTAGGTACCAAGTTTGATGGACGAACTCAAGAGAGTCGATAGGCAAGTCGTAGTAGGATGAGTGCGCACTTCTTGTGAAAGTAAGCCTCACTTGTTTACAATGGCGTCTAAGAAGATGGACATTCCCAAGATTAGATTTAAACGAAAATAATGAAACACTGAAATTTAACTACAGTGACTTCAGATTCCTCAGTAAAGCTGTGCACCCTTTAAATGATTCTGAATCATCATTATTTTTGTCATATTCAAAAGTTAAGTTGTCCAGAAGTTTTAGCCTGCCAAAGTGACGAACTTAGACAAATATAATAAACTAGCTTGGCCCCCTTTCGATAAAAGGAATCATCGGTGCATTAACATCAACTGAACGTCATTTGCCTGCTATATTTACACACTCTACTGGAAGGGTGCAATGAAGTCCTGATCTATACTCTCAAAATAAAATGCACCTCGCGAAATATCACTTCCGACCCTTCCGCTTTGAAGGACAGCTACGCAGAGGTGTTTCTTTTCTCAGTGGAATAATCACAAAGTCCAAAGAAGGACGGGAACTTTTTGTCAAACGTGAGGCAGCGTGGTTGAATCAGTCTCTCGTCAATTTTTGGTCAATTAGAGTTATTGGTATCATCTTAAACCTTGTTCACTTGTCTTTATTTGGATGAAAAAGATATCCGTTTATCTTAAATACAAGACGAGATATTTGAGAATGAAGGTGACCTGTTTTTAGAGGCAAAATTAGTGAGAAAATGACGAACAAAGATTAGTTATTTCCTTAGCTTAAGAGTCCGTGGTGACTGAAAATTTACATTTTTTGTGCCTTTAATCAACGTTTTTCAGTAAAATCCACACAGAAATGAGTTCTTTAATAGCCATAAAAGGTGTTGAACCCAAAAGCCAAAAATTGATAAAAATTCACAAACCTGCGGAAAATTCCAAGTTTGTTCACATTGATTATTTTGACGAGAGCCTGATTTCACCACGCTGCTTCACAAATATATTTTTCTAAATTCAGGGAATAAATAAATCAATTAATATCAGGCTCCGTCATGGGGACCTACCTATCTTATTTCTTCCTTTATTTTAAGAATATATAATATTCTTTTCTGCAGATTCGTTAGTCATGTAGGTCATCGTCAGGTACTGAAGGAGGAACTTTTTAAATTATTATTATTATTATTATTATTATTATTATTATTATTATTATTATTATTATTATTATTATTATTATTATTATTATTATTATATTATTATTATAATCATCATTATTGTTATTATTATTATTATTATTATTAAATTAAATTATTAATTATTATATTAAATAGTTATTGTTATCATTACTATTATTTATTTTCTTCTTCTTCTTCTTCTTTTTCTTCTTTTTCTTCTTCTTCTTCTTTTTCTTCTTTTTCTTCTTCTTCTTCTTCTTCTTCTTCTTCTTCTTCTTCTTCTTCTTCTTCTTCTTCTTCTTCTTCTTCTTCTTCTTCTTCTTCTTCTTCTTCTTCTTCTTCTTCTTCTTCTTCTTCTTCTTCTTCTTCTTCTTCTTCTTCTTCTTCTTTTTAAGATTATTATTATATTAATACTATTATGATGATGATGTTTATTATTATAGAATCATTATTGTCAAAGGTGATTGAGCTGTTGTTGTTGTGGTGGTGGTGGTAGTGGTATTATATATTATAACATATATAAATGTATGTGTGTGTGTGTGTGTGTGTGTGTGTGTGTGTGTGTGTGTGAGTGTGTGTGTGTGTGTGTGTGTGTGTGTGTGTGTGTGTGTGTGGTGTGTGTGTGTGTGTGTTCTCACGTTCTTTCTCTTCTTCCTATAAAATAGGGGCGACTTCACTTTTGTGGAACTAGCTGCTTGTGATATCAAGAAATGGCTTCTGGAGATTACAGCCCCACTTCATCTCCAATGTTTGAACAAGACAAGGATCCTTTCATAGACGATGATGACTTCAATGTTTTAACCATCGTTTTCTATGTCGCTGCCATTGGAATAATATGTGTCTTGGGCGTTATATTCAACGCGGTCAACATTTACGTGTTTTTCAAGCAAGGATTCAAAGACACAGTCAACATCACTCTTTTCAGTCTGGCCATTTCCGATATGGGAGCTCTGATAACGCTCTTTTGGATGAGTGTCTGGTTCAACCCTTCGATCGCTCAAGCTGTTCTGCCTGTGGTTAGTATAGACTTAGTACATATAACATCGGGATGGCCTCATGTTGCTTTTGCACGAATCTCCGGCTGGATCACAGCCTTCGTCACGTTTGAGAGGTGTCTATGTATCGCTCTGCCCCTCAAAGTAAAGACAATCATAACACCGAGACGTACGATTTACGTAATTGTCAGCATATACATAGGCGTGGCTGCTTGTGTTGCTCCTGCGTTCTATTCTATCAGTCTGGGGCCAAAATATGATTCAGAAGTAAACATGACCGTGATAGGAATAGTATATACCACCCACGGCGTTATGATTGAGAGTATATCTTTTCTCCTCAGTGCTTTCTCTCAGCTTGTCTCATTCTTCTCAGTAATCGTGTGTACGGTAATCCTTGTCCACAACCTTCTGATCAAATCAAAATGGCGGCAGTCGAGTTCCAGCGCAGCAAAGCAGGAATCTTTATCGAATAGAGACATGAAAGTTGTGAAAATGGTTGTGTCTATTGCCGTAATCTTCATAGTTTGTTTTTCCCCCAGTGCTGCCAGCACTTTTGCGATGATGTTTTTCCCAGAGTACAACTTTTACGGTGAATACCAAAATATCTATCTGTTCATATGGGCTATATGCTTTCTGCTGGTAGCGACGAATTTAGCGGTGAATATATTTGTGTATTACTACATGAGTTCGAAATTTAAAGAAATTCTCGACGACACGCTCAAAAAAGTGAGAGGGAAATGTTGTGCGTGAGGTACATGGACGCTTGCTGTGTTACGCCCTCTCTCATGTATAGATTTTATACACGGGTCCTCAGAGAAAACTGGCTACCCTGGAATTACAAAGTTCTATCTGCTCAGTTCCTAGTTTTGAGAAAATAAACGTCAAAAAGTGTTGAGTTTCATAACACGTCAAGCTTTTCAGAATGCACTTTTTTGAATATCTGATTAACAACTCTTAATTGTCTTGCGATTTTGATACAGCAGATAGAATATTCGGTTTCTGATCTTTTCCTTCTAGTAGCTCAAAACAGCTCAACGTGTGAGACAGAACTTTTAAAATTCTAAGGTAGTGATATATTGACTCATAAGAGACCCGCATTCAGGTCATTCGATGTTGCATGTTGTCTAGTTATTTTGTGGACATAACTTCATTCTTTATACAGATGTTCCAATTGTATTTTCTTGTTTTCTTAGAAGCAAGAAGTTTGAAAACAACTTCCAATGATTTAAATATAACATAAATTCGTGTTTCTGCTCAGTTTATGTGTTGAAGGATGTCAATAAACAATGGTTTTGGCCTCACTTACTTACTTACTTTGCTCTACCCTTCCTTTCAACCTCTAGAGTGTTGAGGGGAGAATGGCATTTCTGCTACTTATCGGACAAAATATGTGACGACTCCTGTCTTGTAGAATTTAAAAAATAAATAAAACGTTATTAATCTGCTTATCTGCCTACTAAGAATCTCGGCGAGAGAGAAATCCATGGTATCATTAATCAATCAACAACATCAACAGTAGCGACAATAGCAGTTATAAACATCAACAGAAGTAAAATAACAACATCAGTTAAAAACATCTACGAAAGTAAAAACAACAAGACCAGTTAAAAGCAATAACATCAGGTGAAAACAACAACACAAAAACAGCAATATCAGCTCCTGCCGTGGTGTACCTTAACTGATATTGCTTTTATTTTGTGTTAGTGGCCTAGTTTCCAAGTCTGGCCCTAGTGTCCTCATATTACAGGCGGTAGCATTTCCACGATTGTCACTACTTATTGCTTTCAGCTTCATCTTCCTCTTCTTCATTTACTTCATCCAAGTCAGTATCTTCTCCCTCGTTTTCTATTGTATCGTCCTCCGACTCACTAGCCACATCACTCTCCTGTCCATTCTATCCATAGTCATCATCATTCCCTTCTACCATTCAACAATAGAAAGTATAATCAATTTTTGTATGACAACATGGGCCGGGAACACAAGACAACAAGATAAAGAAAAATTAAATCGACTAATACGGAAAGCATGTAAAATTTCAACATTTACATTCCCCTACTTGGATGAATTGTACATAACAGCTTTCACTAAAAAAATGAAGTCCATCTTTTTAGACAACACTACTTGTTTACTTGTGTGAAGGACCGACATCACTGCACAAGGGGCATCCCCACAAGCGCTTCGTCCCCTGAAGAAGCATATCTCGAAGTGTGTAGATGCTGACGGTTTTTAGATAGACAACAAACATCTCTTGTTCCCTCAAACAAAAACATCAGTCTGAAGTAAAAGACCTGGGCTTCTGATCTGTAACAAAGAAAGATATTCAAGGTCATTTTTACCACCATCTATCAAAATGCTTCAATCTTAAACATCTTGTATAAGTATACTTACGACCTTAGAGCCTGCATCAAAATAACATTGAGTGTGTATCTAGGCTACGATTATTATTGTTTATATTGCTGCTCATTTATATTTTGCATGTGATTGTAAGCCTACTTGTGTGTGCAGGTGTGTGCGCGTGTTGAAACACCAAACCAATGTGACAGGATCTGGACAATAAAGATTTATCTTATCTTATCTTATCCACTACCGGTACTTGATACTAAGCGAAGATATTTTCTCGCCTCATAGAAAAAGAAACCATTAATTCTTATCTCTATCAATATTACCTTTCTTCTCCCCCCCCTCCCCACCCCCTCCCTCTCTTTCTCTCTCTTTCTCTCTCTCTCTCTCTCTCTCTCTCTCTCTCTCTTTCTCTCTCTCTCTCTCTCTCTCACACACACACGCACACACACACACACACACACACACACACACACACACACACACACGTTCACAAAATTTGACGTCAGCTAGGTTCAAACCCAAGCAATCCACATGAATGGATTCCCTGACGAGTCCCATACGACTGATATACATAATTTATATAGATGCATCCTTTCCACCAGTAAATGTAGGTTTGATAAAAGTAACGATACTTGTTCAACTGCCGAGTGATGAAGTGTGTATCAGACCCGTCAACAACAGTCAGTCTTTAATAATATATAAAATAATATAGGATGATAAGGCCGTCAGATGTCTCCAGCTCAACTGCAAGAGAACAAACAATACGAAACAGAATCCCAGAAGTGGGAAAATTTGGATGTAGCGATCACTACTACTCCTTGCAAACGATGTGTTGGTGTCGTCAGTTACCCCGTAAGATAAGGATTATCATTTTTCTTTGGAGAGTGGGGGCACATAAAGACCCCCCTCAGGCGCAAAAAGGTCATTATGAAATGTGACCACTCGTCAAAAATATACATTATCAAATGCAATTTGCTTTGTATAGCAGTTTGTCAAAATCTTTTTTTGAGGAATACTGAAAGTTTCAAAGAGATCTTCGCCCTAGAAGTATTCTAAAATGTACAAATTACAACCCCAGGGATATAAAAATGACCTCAGACGTACTATAGTGTTAAGCTATCGCAGGTTGAATATCGTCAGGAGCATAGTAAAAGGGATGGTGTATAATTTTAATACAACTGTGTTGGTAAAGACATAATGGTTTTATTTTCATTCTTTTTACATGCCTCTTTGATTCCTAAAACTACATAATATTAATTTAGTAAAGAATCAGTTCCGTTCATCTTGCACTGGAATTAAAAACCTAAGTAATAACACCTTTTCCACTACACTAAAACACCATTCAATGGCGGGGGTGGGGGGGGGGGGAGGGGCTCTCGTGACCTAGAGGTGAAGGTGTTCGCCTCTCATTCAATAGATCCCGGGTTCGTATCCTGATAGCGACATAATTTTTTCTTCTCTAAAGAATGGTCTCCTTTCACCTCATTTCCTTCTCTCTTTAACAATGTTCTGTAGCGTGATTTCGTCTCCACTTTCTCCCCCCCCCCTCCCCTCCCCTCCTTTGCCACATCCTCTGGGCTCTTGACTCTGTCTACAGCCGTTCTACTGCTACTCCTTGGTTCCTCCTAACTGCTGTTTTTAACCCACACACCTGAGCTTCTGGTAGGAAAGATTTACACATAGCATCCTCGGACAGGGACGAACACTGCTGGGGATCCTGTGTGCAAGTGCCGCTCGTTAAAGATCCTTTGGTGTTCCAAAATCGATACGAATAGGCTTCAAGCAGTCGACGATGAAAGCAGCCTCGCGTCGCATAGTGACGTCGGCAAAGCAGGCCCGCCACGACGTGGAATGAACGCCCAAAGAAGGATTGCAATACCTTGGAAGTAGAGAATATATTGGTAGTACTAATACTAGGCCTACTACTAGATCTGGATCTAGATCTAAACTAGATGTAAATCTAAGCCTAGATATTCTGGGCACAGACTGCAAATTTTTAAATTGAAGAAGAGCAGATCAATCATGTAGTGTAGTCTACAGTCTATGTCAAAAGTACTAGGATATCTAGATCTATATAGATAAAAAACAAACCTGTCGGTATAAATGATATATTCGCCTGATATAAACAGTGTTTGGCTCTAGATCTAGATTCTCCCACCAGATTAATTAACTTAACTAGATGAATCAGTAGGATTTAGATCCGTCTGAAGATGGCTTGTTGACCTCAATCCAAAGTTCAAAGGTTGTTTCTTTGCAAGCCCTCAGTGCACAAAGCAGCGCTAGGGGACTGTACATACCCTAACTTCCTTACTTTATTTTGATGACCTCTGGACTCTCGTTCTAATAAATTTAGATAAGATGAATCAGTAGGATTTAGATCCGTCTGAAGATGGCTTGTTGACCTCAATCCAAAGTTCAAAGGTTGTTTCTTTGCAGTCCCTCAGTGCACAAAGCAGCGCTAGGGGACTGCACAGTCCCCCAGTGGGTAGTGCTGAGTTCCCTAACAACTTCCTTAAATATATGCCATATGTTAGTCATAGTGTTCTTTCTTCTTTTTTCTTACCACTCAATTATCTCAGTAGTTTTGGATTGTAAAATCGGAGATTCTGTTTCATAACTGTATTGTGTTGAAATAAGGGTTTTGACTAGA